CTGGCGCGCGCGCGCCGCCGCCGCGGGCGAGCGGCACCGCGCCGCTGCCGCCGTCGATGAGAGCCTCACGACGGCGCGGAGGAGCAGGGGCTGCCCCGACGAGGGCAGGCGTGCGGTTTTGGGGCAGCTCGTGGCAGCCCCGCCCTTCACACAGTCCAGTGCTGACGCCGCGGCGCTGCGCTGCGTCGCGTGGCGGCTTGCGGCCGCACCTGCACATACAGGCCACAAAGGGCGGGACGCAACGCGCCGCGTTTCAGTGCGCGTCCATTGTGCCCTGGCTAGTGTCCGTCTCCGGTCCGTCCCCGGTCCGTCGCCGCCTTCGCAGCCACTCGTTTTAAGTTTTGGCCTTGTACTTTTTCTTGAAGTGTCCGTCCCCAGCGTGGGGACGGACCGTCCCGTGGCAGGGAAATACCGCCTCTCCCATTTTCGAGATCGCCCGATAGCGCGCGCTGACCGATTTCGTTGCCCTTCGACTGTCCCTTGTGTATGCGGGCGCGCTCCTATTGGCTCCGGTGGTGCTGGTTCTTCCGCTTCTCCTTGATCCAGCTCTCGGGCGTCTGGTTGCGGAGCACGGGCCGCTGCGGCTGCTGCGGGTGCGCGGGGTCGCTCACGGAGATGGACCGCGACGCGGAGAAGACGGAGTGGTCGGCGACGGGCGGCGACCGCGGGCGGTCGACCTGGTAGAACTGGTTCGCGAAGGGCATCTTGAAGCCCGCGCGCCAGACGACCGTGTCGTCCGGCGGCTGGAACGTCTGCGCGGCGAACTGGCGGTGCGCGCTCAGCACGCGGCCGCCGCGCTGCGCGCCGTGCTGGCTCGTCGGGCGGCGGCAGCTCAGGCAGATGGGCCGCGTCGAGGCGAGCGTGGGCTCGCCGCCCCAGTCGTCGTCGACGAGCGGCGGGAAGCCGTCGCGGCCCGCGGCGCCCTCGGGGTCCTGCACGGTCTCGAGGAGGAGCCGGAGCTCGTTCGCGAGCTTCGCCTTGATGTCGAGCCGCTGCGCGGCGGCCTGGTCCCGCGGGAGCCGGTCGAGCCACTCCGCGGCGGAGTCGGCCTCCGCGTGGAAGCGCAGGAAGGCCTGGTCCACGAGCTCGCGGCTCGGGCCACCGCGGCCGGGGGCCCGGCCCGGCGCGGGCGGCGGCCGCGGGCCGCCCGCGCGCGGCGGCGGCTGCTGGAGGGCGATGCCCTC